ACTCATCCATCATGAACGGGTTATCGGGTGGATCGGGTGAGTAACGGGTGAATATACATGGTCTTACTTGAAAGACAAAATAAATAGATTATTATAAAGATAAATCATGACAATTAAAAACCAAAAATTAAGATTCATTGAATAATAACAACAAAAACTTGAACAACTAAATATATTACAATCACTAATTCACTGCCAATAAAGAAAGAACTGATTGTCAAACAAAATAGACATAAAACGTCTTCAAGCTTTCAGATTGTGCATTTCTGCATCGGCACAAAACTATATTTGTAGTTCAACCGCCATTTCTTGAAACTTTTCAATTGTCTTTATTTCACCAATTCATAAATATGTGTCTTTTCATTAACAAATACATATATATTATTATATTAATATTAATTATTTTATATACATTTATATGCGGGTTAGCGGGTGGGTGGATGGAGCGGGTGATGGGTCGGGTGATGGGTTGGATGAGTGTTCATCCACACCCGATCCAACTAGTCTTTCAATCCACCCGTCATCCATTTTTTATCCATAGTTTTTCGGGTTGTCGTCCATATTTTCGGTTCGGGTTGATCGGGTATCCGCGGGTGCAGGTGATATTGTCAGCCCTACTGCTTGAGTGTTTTTACGTAGCTTTCCTAAAAGCCTACGAGCGTCCTATTTTGGACCAACATTTCTTTAAGATGGCGTTACCAAAAAGGGGTTTACAGGCTGTTTAAATAGAAAACAAATCAATCCGGGCCGAAATAGGACTCCAAGTCGTGCGCTCGGCGTACAGGGAAAGTGCACTCGGCGGGTGCACCATCGAATTTTAATTATTTTCCGTAAAGCACCTCCGCTCGGCTTGCGCCCGTCAGGCGCTCGCTGAGCGCCCTCTCCAGTGACTCCCAATTCATCCCGCTCAGCATGCGGGTAAGGTCGCGTGGCGAGCGGACCTTTTGTCCAAATTTTCTGAAACTCTGCCACACCTGCTTGGCGAGCGGGCGTCGTGGCGAGCGGGCGTCTGGCGCTCGCCAAGCGCACCTTCTAACTTGACTTTTTGACCGTTTTCACCCCTTTTCGCCCGTGATTGCTTTCGTGCTCGATTCTTTGGCTCTTTTGACTTCAAAACCATATTTTTAACACCTCGTTGACCTCCAATGCTCCTAATTAATACTCAGATGCTTCTCAACTCTTCTCGACAACTTATGAAATGTCAGTGTGAAGTTTAATTCCCTGAATTTGACTCTAAAAATACACCAAGATCCGATAAACAATGACTTGAACTAATTATGACACTTATGACTCCTTTAAGATAGGAAAACCATCAAAAGGCGATCTCAATAAGCATGAAATGCGTGTTGAAATACAGACTTATCACCCCGCTGTCTCAAAATAGTTGGTCTCGTGTTCATATCTCCCTAAATCGATGTTCTCCCTCCTCAAGCTCCTTCTCACAATATTTTTGCAAGATGCTACAGATGCGGCGAAAACGTGAACTCACACTTTTTGTAGGTTTGTGAATGAAAGAATTGAAGTACGTCGACTTAATTCTCTTGTCTCATGCGGTGAATACACCGACTGATAAGGATGCGAGGAGAAGGGCATGAAAAAAGCTTGAGAAGCATAAACACCTAGAAAGAAGTCGAATTGATTTATTATGCAAATTTAAGTCTTAATGGATGATACTTTATAATCTGCTCGGTTCCTTCTCACCTCTTCTTTTTGATTTGTTCAATGGAGGTCAATTCGGCTGATCTATCAGATTTTTCAATTCGGCAGTCCTAGTTGAGAAGAAGAGGGACGAAGGGAAATGGAGAAGAAAGAGGCAGGGGAATCCTGGGATGAACGGAAAATGTCAAAGAAATAAGGACAATTTTGGTTTTTCCATACTCTTCCAGTCTTCCTTATGCTTTGTGTGAAAAAGAAATGGTACCATGAAATTGGGATGGTACCATGAAATTGGGATGGACGAAGTATTACTTTTACCCCAGTTAGGTTTTTTTCTACTTTTTGACTGATCATCATATCAATTCTTCATAGAAACATTAGATTTAAGTAATAATGACTAATTGTATTAGTTTTTGTATTAGAATTCTCTAAGTATTTCCTATTGATAAGCTAGAATTTGTACTTCATTTTAATAATCCCTCCGCTCCATTAAGATTGTCAACTTCCATCTTTCTTTTTTGATCCAACCTACTACAATTGTCTCATACAAAATTTGGTAAAGTTTATGTGGTTCTAAATTAGTTTTACTTTATTTTTACTTTATCAATTCAAGATTAATCATATAAATTACTGTTCTTAATAAGCGCACTACCTTTACATGTTTCAATGCTAGTGGGACGAATTTAGTAAATTTTTATCGCAATTTTAAGCTTATTGTTTGCGTAATTACGAGGTTTGAGTTTTACTTTTGTATTATGATTTTTGCTTGTAAGGATTTTACTTGAAAGATTTGAGGTTTCTTTGGTCTAAATTGGGAATATGATTAATTGACGGGGTCACTTTTAAGTGGAATGAAAGTTTAAAAGTTTGTATTCTAAATTGGGGGCATTAAAAAGGGAGCATTCAAACTTCAGTTGAGCCTTAAGTTGACCTCATGATCTGAGCATAAAAAGGAGGTCCTTGATTCTGCCAACGAAGCAACTAAAAATGGCATATACGTAGTATATTGTATTATCATTTCAAGACGGAGCAAATTCACATTTACTATAGACAACAAATCATAAATCTCATCAAAAGACTTGCCAAACTTAGAACTCTTTAACATGTTAGACAATAGAGCGCGCAGAACATATTAATTAAGCGGCACATACAAATCTTTTGCTTTGTGCAGCCCGTTCTCCTCATTTACTAATTCAGCCTCTACTTCTTTCTTCTTTTCACCTTCTACCTTCTCGATCTAGTGGCTCGATAACGGGATGCCTTTCGTTTTTGTCAATTGCCTTTCCACTTCTAGGAATTATGACTTCCTTACTTCTTCAAATCGGCCAGTAACTTCCATTGCACATGTTTTTGTAAAGATTCAACGACCTGCCCGACTTGTATCTCTAACTTTATCAAAGAGGCATTGGTGCACTGAAAACACTGCTCATCAGCTTGCTGGGTATTTATGTAGATTTGCATAAAATTCTGCATGTCTCCTCCAAAGAAGGCTTCTTTGATTCAAAAGGTGCTCACTGGTTGTTTGGTTGTGTATTAGCCCATGAGAAGTTAGGAGAATTCTTCCAACCCGAATTGTAAGAGTTGGAGAATGAATCATTTTATGGCCTTTGATTGTATGAGTTCATCAAGTGGATTTGTTCAAGGCTTTCGTTGGGCACTTCATTTACAACGAAGATGAATTGATTCATTGTCATTGTATCACATAACACATATTCTTCATTTGCTTAGATAGCTCAGACATTTGAATAGAAAACTCTGTACTCCCACCCATTTCATGCATTCCTTGGGTCTTTCCATGCACGCTCTTCTGTTAGGAATATATTCGTTCCATGCATTTCATAAATCTCAGCTCTAAGGTTTGTTATGCAATCTTCTCCCCCATTGCTCACCAATCAATAGTCATATTGAGGGTATTGAGTGAACGACATTTTGAATCTCTCTTACGCTTCAAGGAACAACTCACCCTCACTTTGAGAAAAATTGGCAATATTTCTTCTTAATTCTGAAGTTTTAGACTTTGAATAACATTTGCCAATGAACTTATTGTAGACTTCAGCCCATGTGTGCAATGAAACAGGTGTTAAAGACATAAATCATGTCTTTGCAACATCTTTGAGAGTTTAGGAAAAACACCTCATCCTCTACTCCAGTTATTCCTTGTAGAGAGAAATTTCAGATTATGCCATAGAAGTCACGAATAAATATCAATACATCCTCACAAGTATGTCCAAGGAAAGATGAATGACAATTGATTGTAGTGGATTGTCTTGAGATCATAGTTCTGGATAGCTTCATTACGTACAATGTAGGATGGTGATACACCTACTATTAATCTCCCATACTATTTCATTACTCATGTGTCACCCATTGTTGGATCAGGAGCAAAGTCAAGTCTCCTTTTTGTACTTTTGCCGATCAAATCTACTCGGTCATTCTACGGTAGCAAATACTCCACTTGTTCCGCAAAGATTGTTTCATCTTTCCTTTTTGATCCGTCCCACTAAGATTGTCTCCTGCTCCCACCTTCGCATGCCCCAATGTTAGTGGGATGGAGATAGCATGGATTAAGTGACTTGCAGCCAATCATATCACAAAAAAAATAAAAAAAGATAAATAAACACAACTAACTAAAAATAAATTTATAATTTAACAATTTTTCAAAAACTTATTGAAGAACATATTCTAAGATGAATATTATTGTTGTGTTTCATGTGTGATATTTTGTGAAACTCGACAAGTGATATTGTTTGTGATTCATGAAATATCTAGAAAAAACTGATTTGTCTTGATATACAAGTCTTGTTTTGGTATAACATACGTAGTATGTTTAATTATTCATTTATAACTTTAATCAAAACACGCAATAGGTATTAGGTATTAGTGTTTGATGGAGTTTAATCCAACTACGAGAGCTAAATCTACAGAAGCAGATGAAAATATGGCAGCGTAAGGAAGTGTTGTATTGAACGATGTTTTTATCCCCTTTTAGGAGGTTTACAAGTCATATTTATAGGCTAAAGAACTAGTGTTACAAAAAGAAAGTGATACAATAAATGCTATTCATTACGCATTAGTTCGAATAGGACTCTTGTAACGTTTGGCCGTTGTGCAATGATTGTTCCTTTATTCCCACGTTCTTGTCGTTAACTCCTGCCAGCTGCCGTTCTAATGGTAGCCTGCCACATCAGCCCTAGGAATATCCCAACCTCACTAGAACTCCGCCCAGGCTCGAGGCTTGCTTTCCAGTCTGGCCTGGCTGTGGGCTCCTTTCGTGGGCTTGATCCCCAGTTAGGCCCAGTGGTTATCTAACATTAATCCCATTTAAGGGCTAATCCCGCTGATGGGCTCATCCTGTTATGGACTGGATTGTATAATTGGGCAATGGTCACAGTCCATGGTACCATCACGAGCCCCCCTACTCTCTAAAATAAGCGAGGTTGGATTTTAGGAGAGTAAATTGGAGCAAACAATTTCAAATTTGGAATCTTTTGGGAGAATTTTAGCGCCGCTTGCATTAAATGCACCCGATTTGACATAGGCCTGCAACCCGGTACAATTCCCGATCCGACTTACCATCTTCAGCACTCAAGTGTTATCGTTGCAGTTCCCAAGCGGTTTCCAAGCCCTAATCTCTCGACGATTTAAATACTTACCATTCTTTATTACGCTCTTTCGCAATCTCTCCTCTCGCTTTGGTAATCGTCTTCTAGGTTGGGATCTTTAGGCCGCGAAACCCTTTTCCTCCGTCTTCAAGCTTCATCAGGTTAGTTTCCCTAATGTCTTCCTCGAGTTCTGTCCCTTTGCACCATGTATTCCCCGAGGTAGGGGCCACCTCTGAACGACCCCGCATTCCGATGGTCTCGGATGGGAGGGAAACTCACTTCTTTCTTTCCTGCGAGTACGCCCGACATGTCCTGACCGTTGCTTTATCCGACGCCGAATTTGGCGAGGCGGTGGCCCTCGCGGGCCCCAGCGTTGTATGCTCCCGCCCCACCCCTGGTCAAAACATTGTAGATCCCCCTTCCCCCCTTCATTTCGGGGTACATCTGGCCAGTCTGCAAGTAGGCCTTCGATTCCCTCTTCATACTGCCCATCTGAGCGTCATGAGCTATTATGGTGTGATTCCGGGTCAATTTTCCCCAACCACCCATATGTTCATAGCTGGGTTCCTTCCCCGATGCATGCATTTAGGTATTCGCCCTTTCATTGATATCTTCCTCCATTTCTTCCATTCTATACGACCTGGTGGTTCTGAGTCCCCAGGATACCTCTCGATTTCTCAACGGGCCGGCCATCGTTTATTCGAGGCCAAATCTTATCCCGACTCTTTCAAGGGTTGGAGGCAGAAATGGGTATGGGTCACCTCTGTAGACGGCAGGGGTGCAGTTTGAGAACAAGTGGGGGGAGATGATTCGGAAATGGGCCATGCCTTTTCTGTCAGAGGGCAATACAGAGGCTGCAAGCTGATCGCTGATGGTGCACCATTTTTTATGGGCCATTACGTAGGTGAGGACAGAGTGGTTGTACTTACCTTTTTGCCAGGTCGGCTTTGTCTGAGTTGGCATTCATTTTTTTTCTTTCACCTCCTGGATGTGTTCTTTCTGACTTGATTTGTGTTTGTTTCAGCGGGTGAGAAGATGGCCTCCCGGCTATAACGACTTGCAGCAAAGGCTGGTGCTACTCTCAGTTCCTTGGTTCCTGCCAGGAAGATCCAGACCTGGTGAAGTGCTAGGGCTGCCTCGGAGAAGTCAGGGGATCTGCCCCCGGAGATAGTTCCGAGCCATTGAATACGCTGGCCGTTGACTCTCAACCCCCCAGTGATAAGGGGGCTGGGAAGAGGCTAGCACTCCGGCCTATCTCTAGGCCCAAGAAGAAAGGAAAAGTTGCTGTTAAATCTTCTGAGGATGTAGTCGATGTGGATTCAGACTCGGATGCCCAGTCTCAGGGGGGTGATGCCTAGGGAGAAACCCTGGGGCCCGTCCATTCCGTTCGCCTCTCCATGAAATCCCGCTCTGCCTCTCTGTTCCGTCGCACCGTGAACCCGGTGTCGCTGGGCCTGGCCATCACTCCTCCCCTTGACAAAGAGGAGATCCGGGGTTTGTCTCCCCGAACAACCATCCGACACGCCATCCATTCTCTTTCTGAGGTGCGCTTCGCTGTCTCTACAACTACTTTAAATTCTTCTAACTTGCCTTTGTCCAAAATTTTGGTCTCGTTGTCTCTAGGCTTTTATCTTGGCTTCCTCATGCCCCCGTCTCCTAGATGAGAGGCAGGACGACGCTCAGACCCTGATGGCCGGCCTTAAGGAACAAATTGCTGATCTAGAGAAGAGGTTGGGAGTGGCGGTGCAGAGGGGTGAGACGCTACCGAAAAGGCTGAGCGATGTCGAGGCTGCGCACCGTGTGGTGGAGGGGGAGCTGAGGAGGAAAGCTGAGGAGGCTGGCCCGGCCACTATCCAGGCCTTCAGGAGGAGCGAGGATTTTACGGCCGAGGTGGAGCGGACGATCTTGGGCCGAAGGGAGGAGATTGCTCTAGGTCGGCTCCAAACCCCTGAGGGCGAGGCCAAGCTAGATGATGAGGGGGCCATGTGCTTTCTGTTGGGGAAATACGGGATGCAGAAGTCCCTATATGATCTTCTTGCAAAGAGAGACCCCTCCTTCTCCGCCCAGGCCTGGGGGTTGTCGGAATTGATGATGAATCCAGAAGCCCCTGCGGAGACCCCGGCTGCTGATACTCCTGCCTCTGAAGTTCCTCCTGCCCAATCTGGTAATTGATAACTTCTTTCAATGACACTTTAACAAACACCTTTTCCAGGACTACGTGCCTGCAGTGGTTTCCCACCCTTGGGGTGGCGTGTAATTGACATCTTTACCTTTTGCTTTATTCTCTGCATATATATTTCAGTGACTGTTTTTTGACCATCTCTATTGATTGCTCACTTGTTTTGTATATCGATGCTCGTTTGAGGTTCCGTCCATGTCTGGGGTGGCTTCTTCCCTTAGACTTGTTGTCTTTTGGTAGTTGACCTATGTCTTAAACCTGTACAATCCATACGCTCCAGGGTGGTCCTTGAACCCCCTTGCTTAGTTACTTTAATTCACTTGGTCCTTTATGTATTTGGCCTTCAATTTCCGGTTAAGGTCATCTTTCCTTTGTTAAGGATGACTTTACCAATCCTGGACCCATAGGCTCTTAACAGTTGAGCCAAACTGGATGGGCCTCACCTTAGGTTACTTAGACCTTGGTGATTAGCCTCTTAATTGGCGAAGCTCGTTGGCTTCTCCGGTGCAAAGTTAATTCCTTAAATTTCATCTTTAGCCCTTTAAAACCTTAACCTTGCAAGAGGTTGCCTTTTCCTGTTTGAGGAAATCTGATTTTGTGTATGTATAGGGTTGTTTAACCTTGAGGAAGGTTGTTTTATTCCCGCTCTCGTCTTTAGGAAGACTAACTTGAGCTTAGGAATTTATACTTTGGCCATGGGTCACCGTCCTGGTTCTGCAAGAGTTTCTAAAGAACTGAGCCTTTACAGTTCTCCTTTGAAGCGGCCCTCTTCTCTCTCACATAGGTGATTCTTTCACGAGTATCCCGCATACTCTTCCAATGTTATCGAGTAGATCAACATTTTAGAATCATTAAAGCAAACGTTTTTGCTAACCTCGTGCGGGAGTCACTGTTTTAAACGAGGAGTGGGTAGGAGTCCGGGACCCCCACAGTGACCATCCTTCGCTCTATAATTTAGTTATCCCTTTTGAACCTAGGACCAACTAGGTTGGGTATCCACTATAGAACTTTTCAATTCACGGGCTTTAGTCCCATTCCTCGTGACAACTTCTCCAACAATTCTCTATCCAATGCCTTGGTTAGCAGATCCGCTATGTTATCCTTTGACTTCACGTAGTCAACAGTGATAACACCCGTTGTGAGGAGTTGTTTAATGGTGTTATGTCTATGACGAACGTGTCTAGACTTATCATTGTACATATTGCTCTGTACCCTTCCAATTGCCGCTTGACAATCGCAATGTATGCATATTGGAAGGACAGGCTTTTCCCAACTTAGAATATCCTCGAGAAAATGGCGTAGCCATTCAGCCTCTTCAGTGCACTTATCCAAGGCTATTAGCTCAGACTCCATCGTGGATCTAGCTATTAACGTTTTTTTTGAGGATTTCCATGACACGGCTGCACCTCCCAAAGTGAAAACATATCCACTTGTGGACTTAGAGTCCTTTATGTCGGATATCCAACTAGCGTCGCTATACCCTTCAAGTACAGCTGGATATCTTCCATAGTGCAGTCCAAGGTTTTGGGGTTTACGTAAATACCTCAAAACCCTTACTATTGTCTTCCAGTGTTCATCACCGGGGTTGCTAGTATATCTACTTAGCTTACTAACCACAAAGGCAATATCAGGCCTGGTACAACTCATTAGATACATCAAGCTTCCAATAATCCTAGTGTATTCTACTTGAGAAATACACTCTCCACGATTTTTGGTAAGTTGTACGTTTTTATCTAATGGGGTCCTTGCCTCTTGATAATCATCCTTATTAAATTTCGTAAGGATTTTATCAACGTAATGGGATTGGCTTAGTCTAAGACCGTCAGGTCCTCTAATTATTTTAATCCCAAGCATTAAATCGGCCAGCCCCATATCCTTCATGTCAAATTTAGAATTTAACATGCTTTTGGTAGAATTAATCATTAGATTATTTCTACCCACGATGAGTATATCATCCACGTATAAACATAAAATGACATAGCCGTCTACCGTGCTTTTCACATAGACGCATTTGTCACTTTCGTTTATTTTAAACCCATTAATTAACATTGCATGGTCGAACTTTTCGTGCCACTGTTTAGGGGCTTGTTTCAATCCATACAATGATTTAATTAATTTACACACTTTCCTTTCTTGGCCTGGAACACGAAAGCCCTCGGGCTGTTCCATATAGATTTCTTCGTCTATATCGCCATTTAGAAAAGCGGTTTTTACGTCCATTTGATGAACTTCCAATTTCCGCAATGCGGCAATTGCTAGTATCATCCTAATGGAATCTATTCTCGTCACAGGAGAATACGTGTCAAAGTTATCATGGCCCTCACGTTGCTTGTATCCTTTGATTACAAGTCTGACCTTGTACTTATCGATGGAACCGTCATGTTTCATTTTCCGTTTAAAAATCCACTTGGATCCCAAAGGTTTATTTCCTGGAGGAAGATCAACCAATTCCCATGTGTGATTTTTAAGGATAGAATCAACCTCACTTTTGATGGCTTCTTTCCACATAGGACCTTCAGTAGACGTCACGGCTTCCGTATAAGTCCGTGGTTCATTTTCTACTAAACATGTTAGAAAATCCGGTTCATTTTCTACCATACATGTTTGAATATCCGATTCAAATTCTACCAAGTAGGTGAGAAAATCCGGTCCGAATGATTTTTCAACTCTAGCACGTTTGCTACGTCTGGGTTCGGGTTCTTTTTCGGAGCCCTCACTAGTATTTTCCATAGCTACGTCAAATGTTCATTTTGACGTGCTTGGTCCTTCGTTGGACTTGCATGGAAATACGTCTTCAAAGAATGAAGCATTCCTTTATTCAATTATTGTGTTTTTATGTACATCCGGATTATTCGAATCGTACACTAAAAACCGATAAGCATTATTATTTGTGCATATCCAATAAAAATACAATCCACCGTTTTTGGACCTATTTTTATTTTCTTAGGTGTTGGTACAAGCACCTTTGCCAGACACCCCCACACTTTTCAATATTGATAGGAAGGCCGTCTGCCTTTCCACAACTCGTACGGAGTTTTATCATATTTTTTTCCGGGGAACCTTATTTAAAAGGTAATTGCTTGACAAGACTGCTTCGCCCCACATATTTTGTGGCAGGCCCGAACTTACTAGCATCGCATTCATCATATCTTTCAATGTGCGATTCTTTCGTTCGGCAACACCATTTGATTGAGGTGAATAGGGTGTGGTACGTTCATGTACTATACCCACGCTCGCGTAAAAGTCACCAATTGGTGCTTCATACTCACCACCTCGATCACTTCTAACCGATTTAATCCGTCGATTAAGTTGGTTTTCCACTTCATTCTTATAAAGAATGAATTTATCGATTGTTTCGTGTTTATTTTTTAATAAATAAACGTAGCTATAGAGAGTGCTATCATCGATAAAAGTAATAAAATATTTATTACCGCCACGTGTTTGTATTGATTTAAAATCACAAACGTCACTATGAATTAATTCAAGTGGTTCCGTTTTTCTTTCAACCGATTTGAAAGACGTTTTCGTTAGTTTTGCCTCTACACAAACTTCACATTTGTGCTTCACATCAATTGTGAATTTAGGAATGTGTTCCATGTTAATTAATCTACGTATAGAATTAAAATTAACATGTCCTAGTCTACCATGCCACACATTGGAAGACTCAAGCAAGTAAGCAGAAGGGATTTTATTATTATTAATAATAATAGTCATTACATTGAGCTTAAACAGCCCATCACATGTATACCCCTTGCCCACATACATTCCCGACTTAGACAAAACTAGTTTGTCCGACTCAAAAACCATGCGGAAGCCATGTTTGTTCAACAACGAACCGGAAATCAGGTTTTTGCGTATTTCCGGAACGAACAAAACTTGGTTTAGAGTGAGCTCCTTGCCCGAAGTCATCTTAAGGACCACCTTGCCCACACCTTCAACCGCGGAATGAGCCGAGTTTCCCATCCACACCTTCTCACCATTTGATGGCTCAAAAGTAGTGAATAACTCCCGGTTTGAGCAAATATGTCGGGTTGCACCGGTGTCCACGAACCACTCCTTGGAATTGGATCCAACGAGGTTGACCTCGGTCACCACAGCCGCAAGGATGATGTCTTCATCCTTTTGCCCACCTTGCACCAAGTTGACTTGATTGTCTTTCTTCTTCTTGGGTACCTTGCAATCCGCGGACTTGTGTCCGTTTTTATTGCAATTGAAGCATTTTCCAATGAACTTTGTCTTGGAAACGCCTCCCTTGGGACCGAGCTTGCTCTTCCCATTATTTTTATTTTTGGAGCCTTTTGCATGCTCCACCACGTTGGCCTTGGCGTCGTTAACGATTGGGAGTTTCCCATCGTTCTTCCGGTTATCCTCTTCAATCCGCAGACGGAGGATCAATTGCTCCAAGTTCATTTCCTTTCGCTTATGCTTAAGGTAGTTCTTGAAATCCTTCAAAGCCGGTGGCAATAAATGGA